GACTGTGAGAAAAGCAACTCTACTAGGTTCTTTAGAAATTTAACTTTATCTTGGTAAAATAGGGCTAACAGCAGTGAAGACTCTATAAAGGTCTAGAAACAATGGTGCAGATGATAATGAAGAGACATTCTAGATGAACAAGGTCGGACATTGTGAACTGAGCGTGGGTATGAGGGATATCTTAGTTGTCTAGTGCTGCTGTAACAGAAATACCACAAGCGGATGACTTTAACAAACAGAAATTTATTCTCTCCAGTTTAGAAGGCTAGAAGTCAGAACTCAGGGAGCTAGCTCTAGGGGAAGGCTTTCTCTCTCTCTCTCAGCTCTGGAGGAAGGTCCTTGTCATCAGTCTTCCCCTGGTCTAGGAGCATCTTGACACAGAGACCCCAGGTCCAAAGGACACACTCTGCTCCTGGCTCTGCTTTCTTGGTGTAGGAGGTCCCCCTGTCTCTCTGCTTGCTTCTCTCTTTAACATCTCCAAAGAGATTGACTCAGGATACAATCTCATCCTGTAGACTGTGTCCTGCCTTATTAACATATCTGCCTCTAATCCTGCCTCATTATCATTGTAAAGGTTAGGATTTACAACACATAGGATAATCACATAAGATCACAAAATGGTGGACAACCACACAATACTGGGAATCATAGCCTAGCCAAGTTGACACACATTTTTGGGGGACACAATTCCAGCCATAATAGAGGGTCTTAGCCTAGTGGGATTTTTCTAATTTACTAGAACTTGATCTTCAAAGATCACAGAAGAAAGTATTTTCTTTATAAAGACCATACAGCCAATATCACTTCTGAAAGGTTTCCTTTTGGGTGAAAATTTGACATAGCACAGTATAATTTTAGTAATATAGAAGGAATTCATGCCTTCAATATTTATTTTTTAGGTACTGCCTAATATTTTTAACGATCTTTTCTATTATAAATATTTTAATAATTTAAGTAATAAAATAGAAAGTTATTTTTGTAAGAATTGCTACATAAAAAAAAATCTTACCATGTGTCTTTATTAAAGCACACACACATACAACTTATTAGGTAGTTTTTCAGACTTTGCACATAAAACAATGACTTATATTCTGCCTTCCTTCTCAGAATTATCCTATTCAAGTCAATAAGCTTTCAATAAAAAGTTTATTGAGCCTTTCAATAAAAAGTTTTTGAATATTTGTATTCTAGAGTATTATTCTTAATATTGACACATAGCACAGACTTACATCATATACTGTGATCACTATATTATATTTTGGTGTATATTTTGTTAGGTAATGAGGTTCATTATCCTGTATGACCATAATTTTCTAGGACCCTGGTTCAAATGTATCTTATGACAAAATAATTTAAAATACTATATGTGTTTAAACTGTAATATTTCAATCCAAACACTGAAGCCAAGTTTTCCGGCTCCACATCACATGTTGGCATATAGATTTGCAGTACAACCAGCTCTATGCATTCACCCGCACACAGGCCAGACAGTAAGCCCCAAGGCGAGGCCAGAAGCCAAGGACACATGGCAGAGTGATTGAACAATGCATTTCTCTATCAACAACAAACACTTTACCAGTTAACAAATGTCGCCACTTTCTCTTTTTGCTCCCGTCCAATTGCTAGACATCAAGATATCCCCCCACCCCCACCCGCCAGAGCGCCCTTCCACTCTGGCGAGCTGCCAGGGCCCTGAGTGACTGGGGGCTGGCAAGGGGCCACGAGGGCACCATGCTCTCTATGCAGGAGTCTCTGCCCTGAGTCACGGAGAGAAAGAAGCTCACACCTCATGAACGTAAACTTAACATAATTCCGATGAATATCTCAATGTTAGCAATCAGCACTAGGTTTTAAAGAACTTCGATTTTTCCTTACTGCTGGTCTTCTAAATAAACTCTTAATGAAAATAAAGAAAAATTCCTTGGTTAGCATGGCTATGCACAAAAATCTCATGAAAACATCCAAGTTCTTTTCCACTAAAACGAAATCTTCCTTTTCAGATAAGTCAGTATTTGGGAAAAAAATATTCACTAAAAATAATCCTTGAATATTACAATTATATCACTACATAGTTATAATTATTATTCATTGTTGCATATGACCACACCTGTTAGAAGATAAAAGAAAGCTGGAAATACGTTCTGAAGAAAATTTTTTTTCTTTTTTTTTTATTGTACTTCAGGTGAAGGTTTACAGAACAAATAGTTTCTCATTAAACAGTAGTACACATACTGTTTTATGACATCGGTTAACAACCCCACGACATGTCAACCCTCTCCCTTCTTGACCTTTTTTTTTTTTTGGTGAAAATATATGTAGTCAAAGATACACCATTTCAAAAATTTCTACATGCACAGTTCAGTGACATCGACTACACTTCTGATTGTGCTGCTATTCTCACTTTAG